TTGGAAGAACACTGATCTGTATATCTTAGTAATAGTGAACTTTCCAAGAACAGATGGGTCAACTATGTCAGATGCTGCTGAAAGGTAAAATAAGAGCTTACAAATCAGTAATTTGTGACGGTCGTAAACTTACTAATGCTCAAATTAATAGTTAAATGAGGAAAGGCTGGTTGCTAATGAAATTAAAGTATGTTACAAAGGTCCTTAAATTAGAAAATATATTTTACATAACTATTTTAGACATGTCCATCAGCAACTTGTAAATTACAAGTCATTTTAAGTGATTTTGTTTTTATCATCTACATGAAAACAAATAACAATCACAGTGTAAACCATTTAAGCAATAGGACAGAGTGAAATAAGTCTCCACACACCCTACACTCTTGCTCCCAGATGTGACTGCTGTAATCCTACCAATCATCTACTCAATGTATTTAAAGCCATAGCACGTGCCTGTGCATTCATATGCATTTTTAACATGAATGAGATCATTCTTCTGATCACATTTTTAATCTCCCAAATCCCATAGCTTCTTTGTCATAACAGACTGTTCTTTTATGGTTATAATCCTGGACATACTTTGGGGGATACCAATTATATTTATTTTAATGTCTCTGTTGGCTATTTAACAATTTCCTAGCCACCTTTTGGGGGTTTGGGGGAAGTTTTTCCTCACATACCTGGTAATTATTGGCTGTGTATTCATTCCCAGACTTAAGATTCTCTCTGTTTGTCTGTCTGTTTACTTTTGCCCTAGGTTGTTTTTGGAGGTGTGGTGAAGGGGAAGGGTGTGCTACCTGGTGGGGGCACTGGAGGTTTGTCTTGGACTTTGGGACCCTGGGTTCAGCACTGCCAGGTTCTCCAGCACCAGTCTGCACACTTATTGCTTTATCTGGGTATAGATACCCCTGCAAGTGCTGCTTCACACAGGACTGATTGATTGGAGGACGTTTGGTGAGGGGCTAGTTGGCTTAAATGTTGCACATATGATTCCTGAGAGTGGGACATTAGACCACCCGCATCAGAATTGTGTGGGGAGTGCATCAAAAAAGTAATTGCTTGGGCTACCCCAGACCTAAATGTAAAATCAGAATATCTGTGGAAATGAAGCCCAGAAATCCAATCCTGGGGTTGGGTCTGTGGAGGAGGTCATATTGTAAGTAAGGTTTTAACAAGTTCCCAGGATTTTTATGTAGACTGGAGTTTGAGAACCACTATCCCATGATTCACAAGGTCCCACTTCCTTCTCTTTATTCTAACTGATTCCGAAAGAGGGCCTGTCTACAGCATGCCCACCTACCACCACACAACTGGTTTTCTTTTGGCTTATTCCTCCATAGAGTCGACCCTTTTTACTATCCTTTCTATGTAGTATCTTTCAGGAATTCCTAAAATTTTCTCACCAGTCTTTCTTGTTAGCCTTATTTATTTATCCTTACCGTGACGTACATACATATACACACATACACACATACATATATATAAGTATATACATGAAAGAAATAAAAGTTTATTTTATATCCACATATATAAGTAATATAGATCCACATTTAAAAGTAATAAAACTGTACTTCACAGCCTTCATATTTTTTTATTATTTCAGGGAGTTATTCCCTTAATTAATTTAGATAATACTTAAAAATAAAATTTGTAGAAAATTTCCTAATCAACCTTTTAGAGCATCGTAAACATTCTACCTCTTTAGCAAACACTGCTGATTACCTTCTGGACATTCCCGACAGCTGTTTTCCTGGCCATCAGAGTCCCAATTATCATCTATTCTTAGGATAAATGCTGCTTGGTCTAAACAAATTGTGGTAGCCCTTTTCCTCTTGCCAGTGATTCATTTAGGAGGAGGTGTGCAAAGGGTTCTAGCCAAAGGGATGTAAGAAGAGGGCTCACTGGGAGCTTCTGATAACTTTTTTCTCACTTCTAAGAAGATACCAGAAAAACAAGCCCTTTCTGCCTCTAGGGTGACCTCAATTAGATATGGTACCTGGAACTGCAGCCATCTTGTGATCACAAGGGACCTAGCCTTGGATTGAAGTCAGTGTTGAGGGTAGAAGGATGGAGACAGAAAGAACAGCGAGATCCTTGGTGCCTCTGATCAGCTAGGACTAAAACTGACACTGCCCTACCTCTGTTACTTGTAGCCCAAAGCATTCTCACTGATAAAATGAGAATGACAATTTGTTAACTTTTAAAAAAATGGCCAAGCCACACATTTGACTCTAAGCTATAAATAAAATAGTACTTATATGTTACTGGGGACCTTCTGATCTATGAGCAAGCTGGGGCTTGAGCAGTCCCAAGTTTTATTGTTCATAATTTATATTTTCTAAAAATGGATACTCTGTCCATTTTTAAATTTTAAGAAGGTCCTTTATGGGTAGGAAGCACTAGTTTCATAAACTGATACAACAACATCAGCATTTCTGCAATTGTACAGTGATTTTCTACAGATAATTAGTTTGGGGGACTTTAGTGGAGTGGTATATTTCTCCCTCCAACTCCAGTCAATCCTGGCTCTTAACATTTCTCAGCACTTATGACACAAATTATGTTAAAAATATAATTAACAAAAATACCACACAGCATGTACAGTCATGCATTGCTCCATGTACAGTCATACATTGCCTTACAACAGGGATACAGTCTAAGAAATGTGTTAGGTAATTCTGTCATTGTATGAACATCCTTGAGTGTACACAAACCTAGATGGTCTAGCCTGCTACACACTTAGGATGTATGGTATAGTTTATTGCTCCCAGGCTACAAGCCTGAACAGCATGTTTGTACTGAATACTATAAGCAACTGTAACACAGTGGTAAGTTTCTGTGTATCTACACATATCTAACATAGAAAAGGTACAGTAAAAACATGGTATTATAATCTTATGGGATCATTGCTGTATATATAGTCATCATTTACTGAAATGTTGTTATACGGTACATGACTATGTATACATATAAAGAATTTGATACAAACTTACTCTATTAAAAAAAAAATCAACTCATATCACAGCCAAGAAGTTTTATTCCTCTTCTTCAGTATGCCAATTTCTATGTTTACCTTCCTTCCTGACTTCCCAGAACTCCACTCTATATGCTAAGTCTTGGTGCTTCCATGAACGCCCTCTGAGCTTAGTTGTGTTTTAGCACCACTGCCCTATTCCTAGACTGTGCCCTCTTCACTTCTTGAGCTCCAAGAAGCAAATGTCACACAGTAGCTATGGCCTGATTAGGTTGCTCTCCACATGAGATATATGGCCAATGTCCTCCCTGATGTTATTAGAGGGAGAGCAACAATGATTTTTTTTCCTAGCAATCATCATCTTGCTTCTTATTTCTCAGAAAGTTACTTCCTAGACCCAGGAGGGATTTTGAAGACCGCCAGAGTCCGCTCATTCCTTCAACTCCAGCCCTCATACAGACAGTTGAACTACTTACTGTACTATTAACTACAGTGGTATAAAGCATGAATGTTTGTTTTTTCTTGTGTCTCAAAAATAAACTATTTTGCTGCAAATAATCAAAAGTATACATTAATTTGGAAGGGTAATTTTGAAATTTGTTCCTCCTTGTGTTGTTCAGTATTTTATTAGACACATTGTTCTTAGGAGTAGTTCATGGTCAATACAAATATTTGGTTACTAAGCATTCTTTTTTTTTTTTTTTTTTTTTTTTTTTTTGAGTTGAGTCTCACTCTGTCACCCAGACAGGAGTGCAGTGGCCGCTCCCGGTCATTGCAGCCTTGACCTGAAGAGCTCCAGCAATCCTTCCGCCTCAGCCTTCCAAATAGCTGGAACTACAGGCATGCACTACCACGCCCGGCTAATTTTTTATTTATTGAAGAAATGAGTTCTGCCAAGATGTCCAGGTGGGTCTTGAACCCGTGGGCCCAGTCAATCCATTTACCTCAGTCTCCCAAAGCACTGGGATTATAGGCTGAGTCACCGAGCCCGGCGGTTGCTAAGCATTCTAAAATTTTATTTTATATTTTTAAATGACTTCCATCCTTCTAAAATATAGGAACTTAAAACCAGAGCTACCAGATTCTATTCTACAAAGTAAAAGAATTCACTTACTTTTCAAAGATCATATATATTCTATTTTAGTGTTATAATGATAGATGTACTATGTTTATATTGTAAAGTAATTTTTTAAATTTCTGAAATAAAATTAGTTTTTAAAAGAAAATTAAAAGAAATTTTACAGGGCCATTTTCTTATCACTTGTTTCCCGATGTTTTCTTTCTCACTTCTATAAAGCCTAAGTACTTCAGCATCTCAAAGGTATTCAATTCTCTCTTTGAACTTAAAATCGGTAATTTTAAGAAACAACTTCAATATTATTTCTTGTGGACAGATGATAAAGAGACAAAGATAAGAAAAAACTTCAGAGAATATTTCACATTAAGTTGTTATTGCATTGAACAACCAGGGAAAGCTTTACTATATGGCTAGGTACGTTTCTTTTTGAGAGAAAAATTCATTATTTTTTAAAAAAATATTTATAGGCCGGGCTTGGTGGCTCAGCCTGTAATCCCGTGCCTTTGGGAGGCTGAGGTGAGTGGATTGCCTGAGCCTGCGGGTTCGAGACCCGCCTGGGCAGCAAGACCTCATCTCTACAATAAATCAAAAAATCAGTCGGGCGTGGTAGCACGTCTGTAATTCCGGCTACTCGGAAGGCTGAGGTGGAAGAATCGCCGGAGCCCAGCAGATCGAGGCTGCAGTGTCCGGGAGCGGCCACTGCATTCCAGTCTGGGCGACAGAGTGAGACTCCAACTCAAAAAAAAAAAAAAAAAAAAAAAATTTATAGGTCCTTCAACATACAATGTAGGCCAATAAAGTAGTAGACTATTACCCACACAAATGGGTCACTGCCAAAAGAGTCACTGCCAAAAGAGAACACACAGCGGTCTTTTTAATGCTTGTCATTTTGTGACACCTCTGCAGGGCACTGCTATCTTACAAGCTGTTTAATGTTCACCATCTTACACGAGCATTTCTTTATAGTTGTCCATCTCCTTCACAGCCTTCTGAAGTTTTAACTCAAGTGCCTCTACTTGACATTGTAAATCTGAAATGACACAATGCATTCATTTGATTAGTACTTTTTAAGTGTCCAGATATTTTCGTAGATTAAACCATATTCTTTTAAAATTGACACTCAGCTCCTAAGAATAACGCCGCTGCGTATTCCACTTTACCTCTATGACCACGTGCGACTCGTCACTGACTACTCAGTGGGTTTTGATGGACCCGATTTGTTGGCTTCTTTCTGCCTATTGCCATGCTGATTTTCAAAGAGGTAATAGACTAAGTTTTACTAATGCTTTCTTTCTTTTTTTTTTTTTTTGAGTTGGAGTCTCACTCTGTCGCCCAGAGTGCAGTGGCCGCTCCTGGCCACCACAGCCTCTAACTGTTGGGCTCTGGCGATCCTTCCGCCTCAGCCTTCCAAGTAGCTGGAACTACAGGTGTGCACTACCACACCCGGCTAATTTTTGATTTATTTTAGAGATGAGGTCTCGAACCCGCGGGCTCAGTCAATTCACTCACCTCTGCCTCTCAAAGCGCGGGATTACAGGCCAAACCACCGAGCCTGGCCTACTAATGTTTTCAAAGAAAATTTATGTAGCTGCCACACATGTGATTTCAGTCATGTGGCTCACTTCTGAAACACTTGATTGCCTGAACTCACTCTTGTGGTCCAGAACTGAGAATCACTGCTGAGGCCTTCTGGTAGAACTGAAACAGACAAACCATGAGCCAGGCTCACAGCAAAGAATGTGTTAACTCTGGGTAGCATCTAAAAGGCAATTTTAATGACTTTCAAAGCCAAGACAATACAAGCAGGAAACTGGCTTCCACAAAGTCTCGAACTGGGAAATTTAAGCAGTATTTGAGGAAGATTATTCAGGCAGCCATATCCAACATATGTGTGGATGCAGAACTGAAACTAAAGCAGAAAGAAAAACTGGCTTGAGTGATCTGAGGCCGGCCATTAGCCCTTGTGTGGAAATTGCGATTGGAACCCTAGCCTCAATGACAGTCCTTGCTAGCACTCTTTTTGGGAATAAGTTAAGATGGCAAACTCACACAGACTAACAGGTTTGTTTCTACAGAAAAAAAAAATTCAAAAACCAGAATTATAAAATTTCTAAGTTCCATCTGCTCAGGTGTTTTAATGACATATTTTAATAGTAAATTTTGAAATATTTATGCATCCATACAAAAACATAAAAATACATAAATCTTCAACATGGTTTCTTAACTTCATTTTATGAAGTTAGTTCCTTAAATCAGAAATAAATTCTCTCTAAACAAATGTTTTAATTAGAATTTACCAGACATTTATATAAATCTTTATGTTTATCCAGTACTTTCACATATGTTATTTTAAAAATTAATATTTTTCATTTTTTTATTTTATAGATGTGGGGTACAATTCAGGGTTTGGTATACAAACGTTCATTATGTACGTACCCTTGTTGATGAGGTGTGCCCCCTTCCCCTGGCAGTTTCCCACTACTGCCAATCCTACCCCCCTAGCAGTTTCCCACTACTGCCAATCCCTTTCTTATAGTATTATGATAATTGTTCAAGGACGCTTATGATAAAAATTAGTTTTAATTGACAAACAAAAATTGCCTATATTTATCACTTAGAATATGATGCTCTGAAGCATGTATACACTGTGGAGTGGCTAAATTGAGCTAATTAAATGTCTATTATCTCATTTTTTGTGGTGTGAATACTTAAAATGTACTCACAGCTTATTGGAGGTGATCCTGTGATTCAAACTTAGGTCTGCTTGATCCCAAAGTCCTTCTCTCTCTCACACTGTCTTAAAATATAAAAGTTGCAAGGGAATAATGATATTTCTCCATAAAAGTGTGATTAGCATGGCTACAGATCTGTTGCCATATTCCCAGAGGTATACTCAAGACAAATGAAATGAAAAGTATTAGTTTACATAAAATGTGTAGCAAACTGGCAGAGTTTCTAACTTCAAAAGGTGGTTTTGATTTTAATTTTTGAAAATTTAAAAATTAATATATCATAATGAATAAAATATATTAAGACAAATCTTAATATATGTCATTGTGACTGATTTTAAGAGACTGGTATCATAGAGAACAATTATGCCTTCCTATTAAATGTGCCTTGGTGCTTTTGTCAGGATATCATCCCAAAATAGATGAAGCATGGGGTCTGAGCCCATATGATAAATTTTATGTTACTACTTCTAAACATAGCTAGAGTGAAAAGAAAAAATTGATTATCTTAAAAATAAACTCCAAAGAATTGGTACTAGATATATGAATTTTATGCAATTAATTCTCAATTACCTGTGCATCAGTAGACTAGTAGACAATAAAAATGGCAACTAATTTAAAGTCTATTTTTATTGCATTGAAAAGCACTTTTAGGCTCACATCTGAATATGCATGCATATCACAGTTTCAGAATTTAGTAGGTTTAGAGTAAAATAAACTACACAATCATGACACAACTGAAAATGAAAAGCTATTATACTTTCCAGCATTATTCTCTCAACCTACTCACCTAAATCTCCCTTTCTTCCTATTTCAACAGAAATGTACATGGTTTAGCATTTAATTCACAGTACCCAATGAGCAGAGAGGTCACTTCCTCCAAGATTATTTTCTATGTATTTTATAGCCTCTTTGAGTAAAAACTGAGAAAGTAAATGTTTTACTTTAACAAACAAGAGCCTCTGACGACTATTCTGTGAAGTAAACAGAAACAGAAAATATGAGCAATATCAACAAAGGAACCACTTTATATAAGTAGAGAAGATGCCATATTGACCTGAGGAAAAAAGATTCCTGATGAATAATCCAGAATGTAAAAAGTCCATCAGTGTATAGTTAGGAGTGATTAATATATTTTTATAGATTTCTCTTTTTTAATTCTGGTTATACTTCTTCTAATCAAGATGTGCTAAGAGCTATTTTTTAAAAACATAGGGCAGATCTTTGCTTTTGTGAATGAGGTGCAAGCATCCTACTAGTTTATTGTAGGTTCTGGTAGACTAGTGGGGCCCTTTTGTTTTCAGAAGTAGAGTGCCCAGTTCCTGTCCTTAATAAATAAAGGAACATAGTTAGGATAAGCAGCAGAGAGATTCAGCCACCTGCACAAAACAACTCCTTCAGTTTCTGAGGCAAAGAGTTCTTAAATAAGTATATTGTTCTGTGCAGTCCTTCTCTACAGTTAAATAAATTCAACTTCAATTTTCTGTCATTCAGCATGACACTGGATTATGAGGCACAAGGCCCTAAATGCCTACAAAAAGAAAGGAAGCATTGGCTTTAAACACCATGCAGATGTAAGGCGGAACTCATGGAAACAATCCAGAATTTATAACGGCAAATTCTACTATGATGTGACTGCGTTCTTTGCAAATATTAAATAAGAAGCAAATGATTTCAAATGAACAAGACAAAAAAGAGCTCTTAGGCACTCTTCATATGAAGCCAGCTGCTTGCTGGATAGCATTACACAGGCATCAGATTTGAGATAATTAGTCATTTAAGAGAATCCTGTTATTCCAAAAGGTTTCTAGAAACTACAAATACAAAAGGTATTCATAGTTAGCTAATTTGTAGGATGATATAAAACTTTATAGTCACTTGGAGGGCACATTTAGTATAATGTTTGAGAAAACAATAAAACCTTTATAGTGGAAAGATATTTCAAGCTTCCCGGATAAAGAAAATACCAAAAATTTTAAAATGTAGTTCAAAGTGCTAGATGGAAGAAAATGATTCCAGGTTAAAGTAGCAGAATGGAAGAACAGGCAGACAGAAGAACCAGCATCCAGAGATCGGAGAATTTTTTCTCTAATGTTAAATTGAAGGCTGTGTGTTTGTGTTTTTAATGGTAGATCTATTAATAACTGAAGACAAGGAAAAACAAAAGTCCAACACTAACACAGTAAGACAGGATACCATAGAAGCATAGTGTACAAAACTATTTTCAAATCCTGGTTCTGCTTCCCACTTCAGGCACTCGTTTCCTTATCTGTAAAATGGTCACTGTTGCATGGGGCTGTTCTGAGAATTAAATTACTGAATATATGCAAAAAATGGGAATTGTGGCAGACACATCAAGAGCACTGCCTACATGCTGGCTATTCTCATTGGTGGTGAGGTTAAGGCCATGCCTCTGTTTCTGTCCTGAATCTCATCACTTCTCACCTTGAAGACCTTATTATTGCACTTGGGCCTAGTGGTTATTACTGTATGGGGAAGAGTAAAAATGGGAGCTTATCGGTGTTTTTTCTTTAACAATCTATAGAGCAACTTAATATTAAAACTTGCTAAATATGGGTGATGAGTTCACACACGTATTATTCTCTGAACTGTTTGGATTAGAAAAAAATTTATAGATATATTATGTTGAAAGGGGCCTTGCTGACATGATTCAAAAATGATAGCATGTTCTGTAGTAAGAGGTCTAATCAACTCTGTTTTGTATGTTCAAGGTACAAAAGAAAACAAACCAAAAAGGGGAAAAAAATCTACTGGGAGAAGAAGGTGAAGTTGAAACAGCAATTAAAGACAACACATTTGATTTCAAGAATAGGGAGCAGAGAAATTCAATTGTGCCTCGAGGGAATGTGTAACAAGGAAGGTTGTGTCTCTTGTTTTTAAAATGGGTGATTTTGAGACATGTTCTTTGCATTTGGGAATGACCCACTCTAATGCTTGTTCTTCCATTTTAAAAGTTCATCTATTATCTGTGAACTTTGTGAAGTTGTTTTTAAAAAATTACACACAAATCATGGTAAGCTATAAATCTCATTTTAACTCTTAGTTTTTCAGTCAACATTATGTTTTTGAGACCTGTAGAGTTATACAGATATAGTTTTTTTGTTTTTTCTCGTGACTATATAATACCTGTGCCTCACATGCACATACCACATTTTACTTATCCAGTCCTATCATAATGGAACCTAGGTTATCTGAAACTTTCTATCACCACAAATAATCCTGAAACAAAAGTTTTTTTAAAAGCATCTTCTGTATAGTTATGGGAGAGTTTGTCTGCAGC